TCCCTACTTTCCCAGGTATTCTTCTGTTCCCTGCTCTTACCCTACCTCTCCTGACTCTCATCTTCTCCTCCTGAGTCAGTAGCTCCCTTCCTGTCAATTTGTATTTCTTTTTCATCAAGGAATTTATTTCCCCAAAATGATTTGTAGCAATAAGTACCATCTATTAAGTACATACCACATGACAGGTCCTAGAGTCTGGAACGAATTTATGTTGTGGTAGTATTTTATTCTGGAAAAAATTTATGTTATGGTAGTATTTTTGTAACATTTTCTTGCTGACTAGTCCACTTTTTTATTCATGTGTAAATAGAAAATATAACATAATTTTAAAAAGAAAACCTATGCACTGGTTAATAATGTAGGTTCTTAAGTTCATGATATTTATTAAGTGATTTATAGACTTGTGGTAAAGGTACATTGAAACCAAATTTCCACTAAATAATTTGGAAGGAATTATTCACAAATTATATAAAATTATATATTAAGTATATAATTTATTCAAAACTCATTTGTTTTGTATCTTAAAACATTAAATGTGAATTTTGACTATATAAGGTAAATTCAGGTGCATTTAGTTTAATGTTCATTTATGTTTCCTGTGTCTTACTCACTACATAGCCTATTAGGAGTGCTCTCCGACCATTTAAATGCAGAGATTGCTGGTGGTACAATAACATCTAAGCAAGATGCGCTAGATTATATCACCTGGACTTACTTCTTCCGACGCCTTATCATGAATCCCAGGTAAGTGCAGGACTTCTCTAAAGGGCAATTATTTATAATACTTTGCTGTTTTGCACTGAAAGAAGATATGATTAGAAGTAATAAACTCCAAATTCAGGTATATATAGAAGATTCAGAACTTTGAACATTCTAGGTATATGAATTTACCTAGAGAATCAAATGATATATCTCTAATATAATCACAGTGTATCATATTAGAAAATAAAAAATTATCTGTATTTATTACTTAACTTATTTTAATTACTTCCAGATAGTCTGAGGAATTTGCTTTCTAGTTGTGAGACAAGACACCTAAAGTCATTAAGAAATGTGCTAGTGACTGACTTAGATGAAGTTGAGAAGAGTGAGCTTGGGACGTTGTAGATAGAAAAACTGTGGGACATTTGTAAAGGTTAATGACAACCCTACAGGAGAAGATAAAATTGAGGCATGGCATGGTATCTTTCACTCCAGGCATTGGGCTGGATCTCCATGTAGCACAAACTGTTTGTCAGATGTTATACTAAACACTGAGGCATTAAAGATGAGTATATCGTTCCAT